AGTAGGACTAGACTAGATTGAATCAATTGCTAGGTCTTCTACAAGGAAAGTTGGTTCACTGTGTTATGCCAGAAAATTTTTCTTGTTAGAATTCATCTTCCAAATTTATAAATCTACCATTCTTCCGTACATTGAATACTGTTATCATATGTAGTCTGGTGCTCCTACTGTACATCAAGATTCTTGACAAAATCCAAAAAAGGATCTGTAATATAATTGATCCTGACCAAGCATCTCGACCTCAGTCACTTTCTCACTGACATGACATGGCTTCCCTCTGTCTTTTCTACAAATATTTTCATGACAACTGTTCTGACGAACTCTTTTTCCTTGGTGCCCTGACTGCATGAATTTAAGCATGCAATTAGTAACATTGATTTCACCAATTTACTGTTGAACTAGCTAGATGCAACTGCCACTTCTACTCCAATAGTTTTTTTCTTTTTCACTTCCCACCTGTGAAACTCTCTTCTGATTTCTTGTTTCTATGATAACTACAATCTTCAAAAATTTAAATGTAACATCAAACACCATTTTCTGTCTTCTTGAATCATGTTCCTTTTTTTGTCCTTTCCTCAATCCTCCCCATTCTCAATTTTCTCATTTTCTTTCACTTTCACTTGTCCTCTTTCACTTTCGCTCCCTCTCATTCTCTTTCACTTTCACTCTCTGTAACCCCCTGCATTCTAGTGACATTATCACCTTTCTTGGGTTGAAACTAGTAAAAAAAATATTAAAAAATGTTAAAAAATAATCAGTCTCAAAGAAAGCTCTAAATTGAAAACCACGTAGAAAAAGTATTTGCTCCAAAAGATAATCTACACATACTCTTTGCTTCTAATGCAGATCCTGTTCATGCATCTCAATGACTCTATAATGGCAAATAAGAAAAATTAACCTTGGAAAAAAACATTATTTGTTAATAAGGAAAATAAATTTCTGTTTGAATTTCTGGAATAAAGAGTTATCATTATTTGCACATTTTTGTAGTCAGACTAATGTTTTCATCTTCATTATGATCACATTTCACCCATAGTATCCTTTGGCCTTTTACAAGTATCTATCAATTCATTTAGCTTCCAGGGAATTTTGAACTGAACACTTTATTTAAATCTATATTATCTATATTAAGCTCTTTAAAAATATATTTCAATTGGGCACTGTTGAAAGATAAGCTGATTCTATAAATAACAGCCACCTGTGCTAATTCAAAGCTCTTCAGTAAAATGAATCAGAGCCCTCTAACTGATTAGCATTTGTTTACATTCATAAAAACAATATGCTAGAATTAGCTGTCTCTCTCTGCTGAATTCAGTCCTGGCTTGAAGCATTTGAAAGACTAGTCGCACTGGTGTGATACAGCGAAACAGTACTGTCTGCAAATAACATATATATATATATATATTGAACAATAAAGAATATATTAAAAAATTAAAAAATATAAATATTGAACAATGAAAAATATATTGAAAATTAAAAATATATATATATATATATATATATATATATATATTGAACAATAAAAAAAATACATTGAAAAATTAAAATTTTCAGACACATTGAGTTGTATATTAATATTTTTTGTTTTATTATTTCAATTAGTTTCTTTGACTAGTTTTGGCCAGCATGGCCATCATCAGGAAAAAAAATTCCTGCTTGTTAGTAGCAGTGAACTACAGGAATGAATCATATATATATATATATATATATATATATATATATATAGGTATTTGGAAAGTAATTATGTATTTCACCACTATGAATTATGAGTCAACCAACCAAGCCAGAATCAAGGTTGAATGGTAGGAAACTGTGTCTAGAATTAGTTTATCTTCTCTTCTATCCAACATTTGTGTCATTTAGAGATTGGATCTGCATCAAAGCACCAAAGATTTGGCACAAATCTTAACATGTCATGTTCAACTGTCCATGAACATCTTAAGCGTATTTGAGAAACTTGCAAAGAGGGAATTTGGGTACCTCATAAGCTTTCACTTAAAAACTGAACATTATATTCCACCATCTGCCACAGTCTTTTAACCAGGAATGCCAGACTTTTATGTTTGTATTACATTGTTACAGTTGATGAAAAATGTGTTTTGCATATCAACAGAAAGGGAAAAGGACAATTGTTATCACAAAATAAGAAACTGTTACCTACACAAAAACCCGGAATTGCTATAGAACATGGAAAGACCATAATTGCAGTTTGATTTTTTTTATGGCTTATCAACCCTTTATGTTTAAAGCTGAAACACATTTTGGATTGTTGGAGGTTGCTTACAGTATGTGTGCAAATATTTATTATCAGTAACTTGATCAGGTAAACAAAACATTACATCAAAAATGTCTTGTTTTTTCTAAAATAGAGAAGATATTCTTCAGTATGATAATGCAAGGATACATTCTACAAAACAAACTCAAGAAAAAATATGATCATTAAGAAAGGTGAGGAGTGTCTTCTACATTCTCCATACTCACCTGATTTAGCGCCTACAGACTTTCATTTGTTTCTGTCTATAGAGAATATTCAGAAACAAAAAAGTTGAAAACAGTCTTTCAAACATTTTGGTAGAGAAAAACCCAGATTTCTTTAAATGGGGAATCCAAAATTTGCCTTCCTATTAGGTTACAGGCATTGAAAATAAAGATGAGTCATTCTGTATCAACTCAAAAAATGGTCCCACAGGCACCATCTTGGATTTTTATGAAATTTTAGTATATGATATCCACCTAAGAGAAATGAAACACTCTAAAATTTTAGCTTCCTTTGTTTCTTCTTTCCTCTTAAAATTTGCTGTCAACTTTTGCTTATTTCAAAATAGCACAATTTGCAAAGCTAAGGATTTTTATATTTCTCATAGGTGGGTACAATATTCTAAAATTTCATAAAAATCTAAGATGATGTCCATGGGAACACCTAAAAATTTGGTTGAGTTGATATGAAATGTCTAAGGTAATTACTTTTTTTTTTTAAATATTTAAATAAATTTAACTCTTATTTGTTTTTCAAATCCTTTCTGGTAAAGCAGAATTACTTTCTGAAAACCCTTTACTGACATGACTTTCTGCATATTGATCTATCAATTTCAAATAAAATATAGCAATACTTGCAAAACAATCTGCTATTAAAACACTTTTAGTCTTCTTTCCTTCACTTTACTTTTTCACACTCCTGAAGATGATACCAGGCGAGTTGAAAACTTGAACATAACATATTTTTTACATATGCAACAGCCAACTTTGCAAAAAGTTATTTGCAATTTAGAAATAAAGATGAATAAATTCAATAGACATAGAATGTTTATCCTTTTTAATAAAACTTGTTTCAAAGAGCAACTACTGTCAAATTATACTAAATACACATACACAGACACACTCACATATATATAAAAAATAATAGCTGGCCACTTGTATTCGAGGATACCCATCTACTAGGGCAACTAGCTAATCCCTATTGCAGGCTCTTGCTCAGACACACTTGTATTTGTTCAACACCTACAGAGCCCAAGTGTGGTTTATACTGCAACTATGCTGAGCAGACTTTAGTAACAGTTTTTGGGAGAGAACGTGTTATCTAGTGTCATCAACAATCTGAACAAGGCCAGCACACAAACACTCAGTCGCAATGACTTGTGACTTTGTGCTAGCACAGCTATCGAAGATCCCACCAAGTGTTCCGTTTACCCATCTTCACTCACAAGGTTTAGGTCAACCCATGGTATGGTTTTCAGACACTTTCCAAAGGTGCCAAATCCTGGAATCGTCCCCCTCCAGAGTGATAACATCAGGAAGTCTTCTTCCTGACAAATCAACTGGGGTGAGATTCAAACCTGGGTCTCATGGTCAGAAAGTGTACGTACTAACCACTTGGCCATGTTCCCGTGTGTGTGTGTGTGTGTGTGTGTGTGTGTGTGTATATATATATATATATATATATATATAAAAAGAACATATTATATATATATATATATATATATATATATAATATGTTCTTTTTATGTCTTAAATAATTGTCAGACTTTGTCCATTTCATAATTATATATATATATATATATATATAAGACTTGAACCCACAGAAGAAGAAAATACATTTAAATAGAGACGACATCATTTTACCTTGAATTAAACCCTTTCAGTTAATACTTTATCAAAAGGTGGACGTTGGCGTATAGAACAAAATAATTGTAGACACACTTGCAGAAATAGTGAATGATGGAAAATTGTTCAGGGGAATTAGAGTTAATTTTTTTTTCTATTTTATACTCTTTCTGAAACCTTTTATTATTTTGCTTTTAATCATCAATTTGTTTACAATTAAAATCTATTTTAATCATGTTCCAATTTCCCTTCCTCATTCACTATTTCTGCAAGTGTGTCTACAATTATTTTATGCTATTTGCCAATATCCACATTTAGATAAAATGTTGGCCAAAAGGGTTTCCTTCAAGGTAAAATGACATCTTTTATATATATATATATATATATATATTTGTTTTGTATGCATACTGGTAGACAAAATAAATATTGAGTAAAATAAACAGGGCATCTACTCAAATATGGATATGCACTAAAAATAACATTTGAAATATTGAAAATATATACTTCTGGTTAAGGAGGAAAAAATATGATTAAACACCAAATTTTGCAATTTTAATCCTAAAATTTGTTTCATAAGTTTTGATACTCAATCTGTAAGCTGAAACTTTTTTGAAACTCAGATAGAAAGAAAAAAAATGAAAAAAACTACTGCTTGTAGTAATAATAATATTAATATCAATAATTACTACTTGTAGAAATACTCACCAAAGTTATAAGAGAATTTAGTTTATGACAACTCTGAGAAATAGCAGACGTTATTTTTGTTCATGTATTTAAAAAAGAACAACAAAAAAATTACTCAGTTTTTGAATTATCTCTAATTATTATCTGTGTTTTATTTACAGGAATTTTTTTCCTGTTGATTAAATATTTTCACTTTTAACTGTCAATATCTTAAAATGCTTCTTTCACTTCCTCCTTATTGTCTCTTCTTTCTTACTGTCTCTTTTCTCCTTTTACTTTCTTTCTTCACATTCTTTTATCCATCTTTATTTCTTCTTCTTTCTTAGTCTTTCCCCCCTTCTCTCTCATTGTTCTCTCCTCTTCCTTATTCTTTTTACAGTTTCCTCTTACTTCTCCATTTTTCTTTTCTTCCAATATCTTCTCATAATTACTTTATTTCTGCACACCCAATGTCATCTCTCCTTATTTTGTTTCTATCTCTTTCCTCACTTTGATCTTTCTCCTTGTCCACTTTCTTATTAATGTCTGAGCTTCTGTTGTAGAATATTTGTGCAGTGACTTTGATCCTCACTAGGTGCTCTGTTAGTATAGACTAAACCCTACAGAGAAAATAATCTGATAGTCTCTATTTACCATCTCCCTTATTTGTTCTCTTTTTTTTCTCTATCCTCACTTCTCTTTCTTCATTCATTTTTCCCTATGACCTTTTCTGTAACATCTTCCCATCTCCTATATCTCTCACCCTGTCTCCATCTCTACTCTTTTTCCCTTGCCTCTCTGCACCACTACTCTCCATCACTTTTCCCTCTTTCTGTCTCTCTCTTTCTACTTTATCTCATCACTATTCTGCTATCTCTCTCTCTTCTATTCCTTACTCTCCCTTACTCTCCCTTCTTCCTATCTCTATCTCCCATCACCTACACTTGCACCTTCTTAACTCTATTCCCTATCCCATACTCTTTATTCTTCCTATCTCTATCCCTTACTCTCTTTTTTCTATCCCTGTCCCTTATCACTTACTCTCCTTCCTTCCTTCCTTCCTTCCTTTCTATCCCCCATCACTTACTCTCCCTTCCCCTTATCTCTGTCCCCCCATTCCTTACTCTCCTTCCTTATCTCTATCCCCCATCCCTTACTCTCCCTCCTTTTTTTCATCTATCCCCCATCCCTTACTCTCCCTCCTTCTTATCTCTATCCCCCATCCATTACACTCTCTGCTTCATATCTCTATCCCCCATCACTTACTCTCCCTCCTTCTATCTCTATCCCCCATCTGTTACTCTCCTTCCTTCCTTCCTTCCTGTCACTTTTCTTCATCCCTTACTCTCCTTCCTATCTCTACCCTTCCCTCTTCCTGTTCTCCTTTTTTATTTTCTCTTTCCTCCTCCTCCCCTCAAATATTCAGTCTTCTTGTATTTCTAATTTGTTTTTCTCCTGGCAAATCTGATTCTGTCATTTTATTTAACTGCATTTTTTTTTGTTTTTTACTTTTAATTTCACTCAAAGCCATTTTCATCTCAGCCTGCCTCAGGTGAGAGGAAATAAATTTTCTCCAATTAGAAAGGAAAGAAAAAGATTGATGAAATATTATTTAGCTGCCATTGTCTAGCAAACTATGCATTAACCCAATTACATGTCGATTCGAAACATCATGTTTTGATTATACACAAAGAGTTTACAAAGTGTCTACATATATCAAAAAATTTACCCAACAAAATAAAATCTCTACATGAACACTTGCACAAAATTAATGTAGTTTGAAAAAAGCTTGTGATATTCATAGATTTTTTTCTCATATATTGAAAAAAAAAATATAATTTACAGTTTTAAATAATAAACTCTCTGTGAACTAATCTATCTATACTTAGCAAAAAGCATCTTTAAGTAATGTTTGCATAAGACAAAGTTCCTTATGAAAAATAATACCCTCCTTTTACCTTATCTTTTCTGCTCAACTCTGTGAAATATATAGAAGAAACAATATACAATTGTCTGTGGCTAAATACAGGTTGTGGCAAATAGGCCCTGATGTAATGAATATGCATACACCTGGTTCCCCCTCACAGTAATATGATTGGTTGGTGTCAGCCATAAATACAGACTGACGTGGAGGTACAGGACAACGCCTACTGGCTACGCCTATCGTCTACCACTACGACGAGGACCAGTCCATTATGGTTACCTGCTAGATTGTCCTACTTGGTTACAGTAGTCCAAAACCACTTTGCTACTTCGAACAAATATATCCCTTTCCGGGACATATCATTCCCCAAGTTGGAATATAAACTTACATCATTGTAAATTCTTGGTGAAGCTTATCTATGTAGATAATAGCACATGCAAATTTGAATGCTACTCTTTGAGAGATATATATTTTTTATATACCAACAAATATATAAAAAGCAAATTTTACATAATAACTAAAAATAAAAGTACTTAATACTTCAAAGAAAACAGAGTAATCTGACATCATTACTATCAACAGTTCGTCATATTCGACAAAGACACCAGGAGATTCATCTAGATCCAGTGGTTTGAATCACATGATGGCCATGTCTCCAGACTGATGCTTGTTGGTAACTGGCCAGCTTCGATTGTTGCTACTCCAATATGAAGTTGATGCCGTGCTGGGCAGTCCACAGCCAGCTGCTCCCAGTCATTTACATCAGTCTGTATTGCTTTCACGTCTCTCATGATGCTGTCTTTATAGTGGAGTCTTTGACCACCTTGTCATCACTTCCTGGACTGTAGTTCACTATATAGAGTGATTTTTCAGCAATCCAGTGTCATCTAAATGATAGACATGCCCAGTCCATCATGTAGAAAATGTAAGATGTCCAAGTGTAGAAGTCCTGCTGCTAACAGGGCTTCTATATGTGACATGTTTGTTCTGACAAGGACTTTAGTGTTAGGGACATTGTCTTTCCAAAACATACATGATATAGCACAAATGGCAACACTGCAAGCTTGTCAAGCACTTGATTTAGCAACTCTTTGGCTAGTTTACTTTTACCTTTCAGCTTATAAGCAACTCACAGCCAGCTTGATGAGGTGAAATTGAACTAGCCACTGAATTGCTATAATTAATTGTAGCTTATATATATATGAAAAAGAAGTTGAAAATGTAACTGGAGAATTTAAGAGTATTCATTTAGAATAACTTTACCAGTTTCACAGTTCTATGATTTTCAAAAGTTAAATTAATATGGAGAGGTGTATTCAGATGTGAAACATATGATGGAATAATTACATGCCTCTCCATCTCATAACTGGAAGAAAAGGTGGGTTCATACTTTTCCCAATGTATTTGCACATAAGTGAATATGACAAACCCAACTGTTATTGGAACTCTGCTCCTTTGATTAACAATTCTGAGCCATTATCTGTCGCCAGCTTACAGCACCTGGTATTCCCAAGCAAAGTACTGACCAGGCACGACATTGCTTAATTTAAGTGATCATATGGGAACCAGTGTTTCAACGTGATGTGGCTGTAAGCTAAAGTAACTTGTGGTTGTAGGGTCAGTATGTCATTATATAATTGAATAGATAACAGATTTTGAATGTTTAAAATTTAGATTAGCAAACACATCAATAGCCAGAATTAATCAGAAGATATGTCCATTATAGTCAGGAATAAATTCTTTCTCTAGCAATGCAAAAATTAATTTTTTCCTAAGGAAACTGCAGAAAGAAATATAAAGGGGAGACAGGCTGCCCCCTTAAGGTAAGGCTTCAAGAACACCAAAAAGCTGTAACACGAGGGGAAGTGGAAAAATCAGGCGTGGCTGACCACATATGGAGAGAAAAGCAAAATCACCGCCCTCTGCAGGGTCAGGTTGAAATCATAGACAAAGTACATCATTGGAAAATTCGTGAACTTAAGGAATCAGCACATATGCTAGGCCACAAAAATCTCCTGAGCTGACCAAGCATAGAAATGAATACAATATGGAAACCAGTAATAAGGAGTGCCAGAGAAAAGCAATAATAACAACGAAAATTGCAATATGAGCTCTGGTAAAAAACATGTAATGATAACAGCAAAAATTGCAATATGAGCACTGGTAAAAAAAAATAGTTGCTGAAGACATTAGGTTTATAATACTTAGAAATTCATACACAGATGTCCTCAAGGACATATGGCACAGTGGATAAAGGCGTTAGTTAGATCCAGTGACAGGACCCAAAGAGTGTGAGTTCAATACCTGGGGAATTAACAGGAGATAACTGATAACTGACATCTATTAGACATGGCACGTGGAACTAGAACAGTCTACTCCAGTGAGCGAAATTAAGGGTTCAGTTCGACATTCCAACCACCTGAAGAAGGCTGGAGCATACAACAGCTGAAACGTTGAGGATGATAGTCTGAACAATGTAAATAGTGCATATTATTACAATTATTTTTGTTTGCAACTAAAAATAAAATGCACAAATATCTCCAATTCTTTTGAGGGTGCATCATATTTATGTCAGGATTTTCTTCATTCCTTCTTACTAATAACAAAAATTTAGATGATAAAATTTACTTTTTTTTTCTCCCTTACTCAGATATCAATCAATATCCCACTAAAATATTTTGTTCATGCCTCCAATACAATAATGATTTATATAGCACTAAGTATTTCAAGTAATCTAAAGATCATTTTAAAATATGCAGAGTGCGTTGTACTAGTTCTATACATATATTATGCCAGTTTACATAAATGGATTGAACATTTTTAGATTTTGGTTTCTGTGGGAAGGACCTGGAACCAATCCCCCATAAATACCAAGGAACGAGTAAGCTGTAAATTAAAGCTTTGATTATGTCTGTCAAATATTTTCAGATGCTCATGAAGAAGATTACTTTTATTCTGATAACAATCAAAATTAGTTGGCTTTTAAAGTGCACAAAGATTTTACAAATATTTAATTCTTGAATAAAGTTAAAAAGAAAACTTATCTTAGCTGACATGTTTCATTATCTGATGTAAGGATTTTATTTTGCAACAAGTGTTTATAAACAAAAGTAAAAATGTTGTTAGTTTGTCAAAATTTTTAAATTTAAGAAATGCTCATAAATATTCATCAGACTAACTGAATATATATATATATATATATATATATATATATATATATATAATATATATGTGTGTGTGTATATGTATATTATGTAGAAATTATTTGAATGTTCTTTATGTACAAGCACTTTTGGCTACACTTGTAGCCATTAAGGACGATATTATTTTTTCTTTTAATTGAATGTATGAATTGTTTCATGTATATATCTAGAATTATAGGAATATTTTATTTTCCAAAAATGGTTAGCACATTCATACATTCAGTTAAAAGTAAAAATAAAATCATCCTTGATAATGGCTAAAAATATAAACAAAAGTGCTCAGACATAAAGAGCATTTGGACAATTTCTACATAATTTATGTCTAGAAAAGAAGAAAATTATAAGAACACAAGAAAAATTAAATAAAAAACTTAACCACAGTACCTTGTCAGTCGTTTTTAATGAAACTTGTGTAAAAGAGAGATTGCTGTCCAAATACACAATTTTATATATATATATATATATATACACCAGGGAATCTTTACGAAGTATGAGTATTTCGCACCTCAGTTCCTAGGAACTGACAGCCAGACAACCTGCAAATATGATTTGATTATAGTGGTGAAGGCTTTGTGCAGAACCAACCACACTTTTTGAAGAGCCGAATAGAGAGGCCTGGTGCACCTTGTACCACAAGGACCCCAAACGACCCTCCTCAGGTTTTGAATTCAATATATATAGATACACACACACACACATCAGTAAGTCCATACCCTAATGATGAAAGAAAAATTTATAACACAAATAACAAATATTTATCTTTCTGTATAATCTTCTCTCTTGTCAATGCATAATCCAAATGAATGTCATGGAGGCAACTGGAATTCGAACTTGGCTCTCAATTCCTCAATCCATGCTGCTATCCATTACTCCACCGAGCCTCCTCTCTCTCTCTCATACACACACACACACACACACACACACACACACACACACACATATATATATATATATATATATATATATATATATATATATATATATATATATATAAAATGAGGACAAATGGAGTTTAATTCCATTGTATGTAAGATTTAATTTAAAAGAGGGCTCAATACAGAGTAGAGCTAAATATTATCCTCTTTAGGATATCAAAACGTGCCAAAAATTGCCACATAACAGCAACCATGCCTCAAGACCACAAAGAAATATATATATATATATATATATATATAAGTGCAAGTAACAAAAATTATCTTCTAAGATTTTTTTACAACAATAAAAAAAACAGCCCAAAACAAATCACACCTTCCCAATATGTGCCCTTCTTCACTCAACATGATGGGAATTGTAGATAATCACCCCCCCCACTCCAACCTATGTAGTCATTTGTATAACATGGGTGGCTATGAATGATATTAGCTCTGCAATGAACCAAGTTTATTGACATCATCATTGATCGCTTTCTCCGCCTGCGGCAGATTG